TAAAATTTATAAAATTAATATAACAATAGTATATCTTAAATAACATATAGAAATAATTTTATCACCTTTGAAATAAAAAAAATAAAGCTTCCAAATAGAGTAAAATATAGTATTAATGGAGAAAAAAATGAAGGAGAAGAGGAAGTTGAGAGAGTTGTAGAAGAAGAAATTGAGAGAGGCTAGAAGAAGAATGGTAAAATGAAAGAGATGGAGCAGAGCAGGATGTGATGTGAAAGTGGGCTTGGGGTTAGCCCCTCGCAAATGTACAACTTTTTTGGCGAGGTGATGCCCCCTCGTAAATGGTCAACGACTATTATATATGACGATGTGATGCCTCCTTGCTAAATGTTTTTCCTTTTCCCCATGTGTCACCCCCTCACAAGCGTCTAACGAATTCATTTTCAAATTCCCTCCTAAAATTTAGCTACGGGAAGCTCCTAGCCACACCAAATTTTAAACCTTTTTTTTATGTTATTTAGACAAGGGATTACCTCAAGATAATGTTAAATTTAGCTAGGGGCTTAACCCCTAGCCATTTGTCCGAAGCTAAATCAACTTTTTCTTGTAGTGTCGATTCGTTAGAAGTTCACAAACAATTTGGTTCAACTCATTAGGTTCATCTCGTTAGATAACTCGTTTGTTTCACATATTTAAAAATCATTTTTTAAAATCTATTTTATTTATTTATTTTATATTTAAATTAATATTTTTTTAAATAAAAGATATAAAAATAAACTAAATTTAAAATTTATATAATATTGATTTTATTTATATAATTATTTTTAGAAGTATTTTTTCTCACTTACGAATATAAATTATTAATTAAAATCATTAAATTAGAAAAAAATATATGTATAGGATTTGGAGAAAATCTTTAAATTTATTTTTAAAGATAATATAATTCATCTCATATATAATTAAGTTGACTCATGAATCTAATGAATCGAATTATATATAGTTTAAGTTCAGCTCATTTTGTTAACGAATTTAATTTTTAACTCATATTCAGATTATTTAGTTTATGAACATAATTCAACAATTTAATTATCTAATCAAATTCTAAACTATTTTCGAATTGATTCGGTTTTGTTGGTCCTATCCACAAATAAATCAAACACAAGAGCCAACTTTAAACCATATTCATGAATCATTTTCGCCAAAGAACAATTCTGAAGTCCTGCACAAGTCTTCAATACATTATCAGGTCTCAATTCATTCTAAAGCATTTTAACAAATACATGGAGGTTGCTTTTAAAATTGTTATTGAGGAAAAAAGCTTTGATGATTTTGTAGTATATACAAACTTTGGTTATAAAAAAAAGTATATACAAAATGTACTGTTTTCAAGACCTGTAGTAAGGCATGTGATTGTCTATGTTAGAATTAGTTTAGATTTTATAATTAATTAGATATTAATTTATATTTAGGAATATCTTTTAGATTGTTTATATCTTTGTTAGAAGATATATATCTTAGATCTTCTTATATCTTTGTTAGAAGATATATTTTAGATTTAATTTTGTGTATAAATAGCCTAGTGGAGTAGGTTATTGTAATTCATTGTAAATCCTTATTTTGAAGTTGTCAGTAAATATATTTCTTTGCCTTTTATCTCTGTCTTGTGCACCAACAATTGGTATCTAGAGCTCCTGGTTAGAAACTCTGGAATTTGGGAAACATTGTTTCATTGATAGAAATTATGGGATTTGGGAAACATTGTTTTCATTGAGTTTCTGCGTAAATTGCACAAGGTAGAAGATGAACGGAAACGACGGCGATATCCATTCCAAACTTCCAGTATTTGATGGTAAAAAATGGAATCGTTGGAAGATCCAGATGCGCGTGTTCTTTGGTTCTCAAGATGTGTTAGATCTTGTCACCGATGGCTATAATTTGTTATAAGCAGACGCAACAGAGGCACAAAAGGTAACACAGAAGGCGCTGAGGAAGAAAGATCAGAAGGCGTTGTTCTACATCCATCAATGTGTGGATGCGAATGTGTTTAAGAAGATTGCTGATTCTGAAACAGCGAAGGCTGCATGAGACACACTAGTCAGATGTTACGGTGGTGACGCATCAGTGAAGAAGGTGATGCTTTAGTCTCTCAGAAAGCAATATGAGAATCTCAACATGAAGGACAACGAGAAGGTTTCTGAGTACATCTCTAGAGTGATTTTGATCACTAATGAGACGAAAGCTTATGGAGAAACTCTTTCTGAACAAGCAATCATTGAGAAGATCTTGAGATCTTTAACTTCTCAGTTTGATTACATTGTGGTAGCATTCCAAATATATGAGCACCATGAGAGTTGAAGAGCTGCAAAGTAGTCTAGAAGCACATGAGTTATGTATGACTGCGAGAACTTCTGAGAGGGAAGTAGAGTAGCATGCTCTGAAAGTAACTTCTGGTAAGAAGCATCAGAAGCATACTTGGCCAGAAGCCAGGAAGAGAACTAATGGTGGTGAAAGGTCAGAAGCTTCAAACTCTGATAGGCACAAGAATGTCTAGAAGGGAAAGGAGAAGTCTGACAAGAAGAATGTTCAGTGTTATTATTGCAAGAACTTTGGTCACTATGCCAGAGATTGTCGGTCTAACAAAGAAATAAAGTCAGAAGAAGAAAATATAGCAAGAGGAGAGTCTGATGATGAACCTGTGCTGTTGTTGGCTTTTGAACCTGATGATCTAAATTCATCAGAATGGTGGTATATGGACACAGGGTGTTCAAACCATCTTACTGGAAATAAGAAATTGTTGGTTGATTTTGACTCTGGGAAGAGTACAAAGATCAGATGTGCTGATGATACATACCTCAATGCATAAGGTATGGGAAATATCATAATCATTCTAAACAATGGGAAAGTAGCAGTGATCTAGAATGTATGGTATGCACCTGGCATGAAAAGCAATATGATGAGTGTGGGACAACCGATTGAGAAAGGTTTTTCAGTTACCATGAAGGACAATCTTCTGAAGCTGTATGACTGTAATCAGAAGTTGATTATGGAGTCAGAACAGGGAAGAAATAGAACATTCAAGGTGAATGTTAGAACTGTAGACTCTGAATGTCTTAGTGCAACAAGTGTTGTCAAGGAGAGTGAGCTGTGGCACAGAAGATTTGGTCATCTGAATTTCAGAAGTTTAGGACATCTGAAACCAAAGAATCTGGTACATGGAATTCCTATAATCAAGAAGCCTGAAAAGTCATGCAAGGTGTGAATGGAAGGGAAGCAACCAAGATTACCATTTGCATCAGAAGTAGCTCCAAGAGCAAAGCAACCCTTAGGAGTAGTACATTCTGATGTGTGCGGTCCGTTTCCAGTAGCATCAACTGGAAGGAATAAATATTTTGTGTCATTTGTTGATTAGTTCACCAGAATGATATGGGTATCTCTTATAAAGTTCAAACGCGATGTGTTTGCTGAATTCAAGAAGTTTAGACTGAATGCTGAGAATCAGAGTGGCCAGACTCTAAAGATTCTTAGAACTGATGGTGGTGGTGAGTATAACTCCACATAATTCAGAAGTTTATGTGAGGAGAATGGAATTGAGCATGAGGTTACTGCTCCCTATACTCCTCAACTCAATGGTCTTGCTGAAAGAAGAAACCATACTTTGCTTGATATGGTGAGAAGCATGCTGAAAGAGAAGAAGCTTCCTCATATTCCGTGGAGAGAAGCTGTTGCAATTGCATGTTATGTGCTTAACAGATGTCCAACAAAGAAATTGAAGGAAATAGTTCCTATTCAGAAATGGATTGGAGATAAGCAAAGTGTTAGTCATCTGAAGGTGTTTGGTTTTGTATGTTATAAACATGTCCCAGAAGCCAGAAGACAGAAGTTGGATGATAGAAGTAAAGTGATGTTGCTGGTGGGGTACCAAAGTACAAGTTCGTACAAACTTTATTGTCCAGAAAGTAACAAAATTGAGTTCAGCAGAGACGTCATTGTAGAGGAATCATAAGTTTGGAATTGGGAAAAGTCTCGTCCTGACTCTGATGAGAGAACTTATTAGGAAAAGTCAGAAATACATGTTTCTGAAGCTAGTAAAGACTCTGACTCTGAAAAAGATACAGAAGAAGAAGATGATTCTGACTCTGACTCCGATGGTGATCCAGACTCTGAAGATAGTCAAGGTTCTGGAGAAAGTCCAATTTCTGAAGCAAGTGTTTCTAAAGGGGAAAGCTTTGGTGTCCAAGGTTCTGAAGGTCTAGTTCAGAGGCAACAAAGAGTCAGAAGCATCCCAAGAAGATTTGCAGAGCTTGGCATGTTGCAAGACACTGAAGTAGACTCTGAAGGAGAAGTTATTCAGTGTGCAATGTTAGTAGACTCTGAACCCGTGATTACGAAAGAGGCTCTTAAGCAGCAAGTTTGGTTGTAGGCCATGAAAGAAGAACTTGATACTATAGAGTGAAACAAGACTTGGAAGCTGACTTAACTTCCAAAAGGCAAGAAAGCCATCAGCATCAGATGGGTTTTCAATCAGAAGCTAAAGCCAGATGGATCAATTGACAAACACAAAGCAAGATTAGTAGCAAGAGGCTTTCTACAGATGTCATGGATATGTAAAGTGTCATATATATATATATATATATATATATATATATATATATATATATATATATATATATATATATATATATATATATATATATATATATATATATATATATATATATATATATATATATATATATATATATATAGAGAGAGAGAGAGAGAGAGAGAGAGAGAGAGAGAGATCCAGAGTGGATAACAGTAATCATGGCTCCATTGGGGAGCCAAACGTTAATAGGTAGTATGGTTTTGAGGGATGTGAACATAGACTTGGAGTGGCACACATGAATTGTGACACTCGTGTCCAGTAACTAACCATGAGAACCTATGCTATTCATGTAAAGGATAATAGGAAACATACTGGAATGTGATAGATGAGAATATTGTCGGTGTTGAACCGTGTTGGTAGAAGTTGAGGCATTTTGTTGAAGGAGATTAAGAAGAGCTCATTGTTGATCAGCAATTAGCACAAATTGGTTGATACCTTGATCTGAATAATTTGTTCGCTCCTTAGTTTGTTCTTCTAATGATACTTGCGCAATCTGGGGCTTCTTCAAATAAGGAGGGAAGACCGTGCTTTTTGAAGCATATTTCAATGATGTGTCCAGGTTTATTGCAGTAGGAACAAATTTTGATATCTCTAGTTTTGTTGTAAGGTTGATTCTTTGATCCCGTTTCAGGTGAGCGACCTTTCTAATAGGGTTTGGAGTTATGAGCAAGAAGTTTATCATCTTCAATAGGTTGGACAATTTTCCTCTCTTGTTGAATGAGAAGCGAGAAAACTTTGTTCACATGAGGCAAGGGTGTCATGAGCATAATTTGAGTATGAACGAGAGCATAACACTCATTGAGACCTTTTAGGAAGCGAATAACATAATCATTATCATGATAAGCTATGATTGTGGAGATTAGTTGACAGTGGCACATAGGTTCACAAGTGCAGCTAGGAATGGGACAAAAATTATCAAACTCTTGACATAACTTCTTCAGTGTTGTGAAGTATTGTGTGACAGTTTGTTCGGCTTGCTTCTAAGCATAGATTTCCTCTTATAGGTAAGAGATTTAGAATATGTCGCCTTGGTGGTATCATTCATGTAACTCTTCCTAGATGTCTTTAGCGGAACCCATCCATAAGACACTTTCAGAGATCTTCTTCTCAATCGAAATTGTAATCCAAGTCATTACCATATTGTTACAATAATCCCAATCAACATACTTTGAATCAATTGGATTTGGGAGAATTAAGGTTTCGTCGATGAACCCTAATTTTTTTCTGATCGAAGAGCGCGTTTGATGGCACTGGAGCATGAATCAAAATTGGTGTTGTTAACGGATGGAGAAATGATGGAGAGGCCAGGATTATCGTTGAGATGCATATAGAAGGGATCGAGCATGTTAGTTTGGTAGTTACGATTGGGGGTTCCATGGTTAATTTTGTGTTCTTTGCGAGGTGAGTTTTTGGGGGTGGTTTCATCTTCCTCGAAAGCCATGAATGAAGGAAAATTGAAGAAAGAAAAGGTCAAGATGAAGTGAAAATGGAGAGCGGGAAGGAATCTTGAAAAATAGAAGGGCAAGAAACAATTAATAGAGTTTCTTGGAGAAAAAAACATAGAAGGTGGAGGGTGAACATAGCAAGGAAGAAGAACATTAATGGATAAGAACGTTATCCCAAAAGAAGAAGGTGGGTGGAGCCATGTAAAATCAAAGAAAAACAATGAGAAAAAACACGTGATTGAAGATAGGGATGGAGAAGATCAAAGCAATCTCAATCTCCTGATACCATGTTGGCATTTGTCAGCAGATGCATGAAAGAAAATATTGAATGAAAAATCTGAATAATATTTTCATTAGATTGGAATAGTTACAAAGGTGAAATATATAGGTCTTCACCAAATACAATTGACTAAATACAAAAGTAAATAAGCATATTGGGCTAAGGAAGTTATTGAGCTAAAGTGAAAATACATTACGATTTAAGAGCTTTTAATTATGTTTATGATATATATATATATATATATATATATATATATATATATATATATATATATATATATATATATATATATATATATATATATATATATATACACACGAGGAGCTAAGATCAAAAGGTTAAAACTCACATTTTTATTCGAACCAATCAGATTTTAGATAGTCAAATTTTAATTAATAAAATCACTTAACTAATAACAGGTCCGACCCTATGGGCAGCGAGCAGGACGTTTGCCTAGGGCCTCAATTTTATGTTTACATATATGTATGTGAACGCATTACTACTTTAGTGAGTTTTTATACATTCAATTTTAATTGCGTATAAAGTGAATCAATACTTCATTTTCTGTGTGGAGCAATTATTAATGTGCAATGCAATTAGCAATATGCAACGATTGTTTAGCATTTTGTCTCGCAATGCACAGGAACAATAATGTAATATTATTAATGATTAATCATTTTTAAATGATCATTAATGATAATGTCATCACGTGAATTTTTTTTTATTTTATAAAGTAAGTCTTTTATTTTGTTTTAAACAAATAGCTAAATTTTAAAAATATTTTATACATAATTTGTTATTTAAAATATTAATTATGTTAGTTCATCAACAATTTCATACGGGTAAGAGTAATATATATATATATATATATATATATATATATATATATATATATATATATATATATATATATATATATATATATATATATATATATATATATATATATATATATATATATATATATATATATATATATATATATATATATATATATATATATATATATATATATATATGAAATAATATTTTGATATGATATTATATTAAATTTTATTTTCACATTTAATCTTTGTTTATAATCTTTTTATTTATTTATTTTTATACTTGGTCTATAGAATATTCTTTTATTTAATTGAAAGTAATTGTTTTGGACTGGGCTTGCCCTTGGCCCAAATCACAAGTAAGGTCCAGATCCAAGCCATGTCCCAAGCTATGCTGGGAACCAGACTCCTCGAGTGTATCCGGTCACGGGCCGTTGCGACTATGTCCGTCGCTGCCTGCAACGAGCAGTTTCCCCGACACAGACATCCCAACTCGAGTCCTGCTCGAGCATCCTCCTCGTAGGGCAGACTAAGTCCCTCCGGATGCTTCGGAGTCTTTAGAGCTCCGGGAAGATCGCGTCTCCGTTCTTCCTCGTTCTTCGCGGAGCATCATCCAGGAAGGAGACCACGTGCAGGTCCCCACTACTCACGTAGAACCTGGCAGTTCCTTTGTTGGGTCAGTTTTGGTCAGCCCAATAAAGGGACCTTGACCTAGCGTTGGAGGCTATAAATACCCTCTGTTCCAAGAGGGTCAGGTATTCATTCTCTAAGACACCTATATACAATTTTCCTGCTCATTTCGTCGCTGACTTTATCATCGGAGTGCCTTGTAGGTACCCCCTCCACCTCTTCAAATTCAGTTTGAGCCAGCTGTGACGGTCCAATTCTGATCCGGTAAGATCAGTGGCGCCGTCTGTGGGAAACAAAGCTTCCCCGTCTTACAAACTTTCAAAGACCAAAGCTAAAACCATCTTCCATCGTCATGGCTGACCAAACTCAGGATGACTAGAACGTCCGCGTCGTCGATGCTAACAACAACCTCGCTGACAAGAACGGTGGCCCCGACAACGTCGGCAACCCCGACCATTATATACTTCCCGGGGGCGTCATCCTCGGGCCCTCAAACTGCCGGGACGGAGCCACGGCTTCATCTTCCTCAATCCCTCCTCCACTCGAAGAAGACAATCCAGCTCCCCCCAACTATCTAGCCACCCAATTCCATGAGGTCATTGTCCCCGCGGGGGCAGACGCCACGACCAGAGCACTGTTCGCGGCAATCAACCAGACCAACTACCTCATCTTTGCCCAAGGGGAAAGATTGAGGGTGCTAGAGGACAACAGAAGGCCCCCGAGGAGACACAGGAGGCCTCAATCTCCACCTCCTCGAAGCCCGTCGCCCCGACCTCCTGGGCGGCGACCCACCTTAGAGAGAGAACCAATCATCGAAGCCGGGAGGCGCGACCACGGCCCTTTACAACAAGAACCAAGGCATCCCGGAGACAGACACGGAGGAACATACCAACGGACATATCGCCCGAGGAACGTTCAGCGCGACCAGGGCCTTCGTGACCGAAAATATATCAGGTCCCCGTTGTTGTACCCCAAAATTTGCCCTCCCATAATCTTCAAAGTTTTGACAAGAATCATCCACAATTGGTTCAAGTTTACTCAAGGGCCACACAGTCAAACCATCCTCCTAAGACAGTCAAACTAGGGTTTTAGTTCTTGCAAGGAAGTTGAAGTTTTCAAGAGCTCAATCAAGTCTCCTATGCCTATAAACATTGTCAAGCACCTACATGTCAAGTTTCAAGGCTCACAAGGTCAAGTTGCACAGCCAAAAACCCTAATTGCTCAACAATCAACTGTAGGGGCAAAGTGGTCATTTGGCAGTCAAAAGTCAAAAATTTTGGTCAACATCTTATTTTGAAGCCACAAACATCATTTGATCAATGCTTGATCATGATTCTCAAAAGTATGGCTCAAAAAGTCTCAAGATGCAAAAGTTTCTATTTTTGGACAGTTGAAAAGTCAATTGTAACTTGACCAAGGCATAACTTTTTTATGGTTCATCAGAAAAATCCCATCCAATGCTCATCTTGAAGGGGAAGACATTTCCTACAACTCATCTTCACACTCCAAGTCCAAGAAATGCTCTCACAAAAAGTTATCAATTTCAACATTATAGATCATTTTCAAAAGTCAACAAAAAGGGACTTTAAGTCAAAGACCATAACTTGAGATTGGTAAATCAAAATGACATGGGACCAAAGACATTGGTTAGAGGGCTTCAAGACCTTTCTAAAATGTCCAAGAACATGATCAAAGCTTAAAAATTGAGTAAGATATGCATTGGAGAAGTTGGGAAATTTTTGTGAAATGGCCAAAATCATTTATCCTTGAAACTTCATTTTTGACAAAAGGGCCCCACTTTTTTCACTTGAATCAGCTTGGCCATGCTTCCCACGTGTCCCACATTTTATTTCAAATTTTAAATTTAATTTTTTCATTTTTATTTGATTTTATTGGATTTAATTCATTTTAAATTTTTTAAAATCAAATAAAAATCAAGAAGTTTAATTAAGGGGGATATTTGGTCTTAACTAGCTTTGAATCATCATTATGCAACATCCCAATTTCGTTTCAAGGCCAAATGGAGCAAGAATTCAAAATTGGCTCAAAAGAGGAAAGTTTGTTAATGGAGTTATGTCAAAATCTTGAACATGAAGGCAGGGCATTATGAGGCCATAACTCTTATCAAAACATGTTACATAACACATATGCAAGTGATCACAAACAGAGACAAGACCTAAGCTGCGCTGCAATCTCAGAAGCAAACTTGCATTTTTAGCCAAAATTTTCAAAACTGAAAACACTTCTAGAACTTATTTCAGACCCTCATTCCTATCCAAACACGTTGCTGACCTCTCAAGGAAACTCTAGCAATCAAATTCAGACCTTCACACGCAAAGAACAGGTATAACCAAGTCCGGTTTTCTTTGAAATTTTTGATATTCGCATTTCATTATTCATGCTGTATTTGTCATTTTTAATCATGGATTTGGACTAATGTGAATGTTTTGAAGCTGATAGCATGATTTAATTGAGTTTTCAAAGCCTGTACGCGAATTCACCA